CTGGCTTCAAATATGCTAGAGAAAGAGAAAAAAGCATATGAATATGTGTAAATGTCCACAAACCATTAAGGTCATAATTAAACAGAGAGAGAGAAAAAAGTTCTTGATGAAAAGTTAAAGAACCATTTCTGTTGGAGTTAAAAAAAAATTCTCAGCTTCCCTTCTCAACAGTGTTGGGTGGGGTGGTCTGGAGTGAGAGAGGTAATCCTGTAGGTGGGGTTTAGCCTAAGCAGGCTCCAGTTCTTTGCTGAATGCCAAGTGGTCTGGAGATTTTAAATCAGTGCACCTCCACGGCCCAGCAATTGCTGGTCCATGCTGGAAGACAGCATCCCAGGGATCTCCTCTGGGTTCCACTCATGCAGTGGAAGAGCCAATTCTTTGTCCATTCTTGGGTTCATTTTCCAAATGCAGTCTCTCCTGCCCTGCCCTTTTGAATTTCCAGCCAGGCATGTCTCTCCTAGCTGGTCTTGCGAGCAGTTAGAGTGGAGAGGTAGGGGGAGAGCCAGGTGGGTTTCCACGACCAGTATTCCCCTGGGTAAACCCTTCTCCATGTTTGATTCTCTCCTGGTCACTTAGGCACACTATGTCATGCAGTATGGGTTTGCCAGGAATTGGCTCTCCCAGCCACCAGCACATGGCTGCAATATGGTTCTTTCTTCTGTCCTCTGCATGCAGCTGGGAGAGATGTGGCTTCTTTCCTGTACAAGGACATTGTGCCAAAGGCCTTTGTGTAGTGTTTTCGATCTCTAAACTCTCTGTACCCAGACATGCCTCAGGCCTCCTAAAAATGCTGTTTCCTATCATTTCCTCATCCCTCCACTGTGCTTAGAGAGGGACTGTTCTGGCTGGTACCTTGGTGGCACTGGGGTTTTCTTCCTTATTTTACTATATCCAATCTCCTGAGTCCCCCATCTGCTTTCAGTGTCCAGAATAAAATCTTAGAAAGGCCTCCCTCTTTTTTCACCCTCCTTGCTGAGAAGCTGCTTATCTGCTTTCTTGGTTTCACACCATGGAGCAGGTAGGAAAGTGACCTTCTCTATTCCACCATCTTGAAACCTCACACTACCAATATATGTATATATTTTTGTGGTGCTGGGGATTGAACCCAGAGCCTCATGCACGTGAAACAAGCATTCTACCAACTGAACTATATCCCCAGCCTAATAAATGGTTTTTAAAGTTTTTTTTTCTTTGTAGTGTTTTAGAGAAAAAATTATTTGTGTAGCTGACAAATAATGGGTTTTGATCTTAGATTTGGCCAGACTTTTTGACTGCTGGTACATAATACCTTGATTTTCAATACTACCTTGCTCAGACCTAACTTCTCCTGTAGACTAATGTGTCCTTTGGCTTTGGTCAGCTTTCAATTCCTTAGACATGGTTTTAGATTCCTCTTTACTAGTGATCTAGTGATCAGCTATGCCTTACTTGCCCCTATAACAAATCTGAATCTGTACAGTTTGCCAGATCACAGAGAATGCATAATCTAGCCATATCACATTAGCTCTTATATGCCATGTTACAAGTTTGGATGTTATTTTGGGAGCAAGTGTTTCTGAAACTTTTTTTTTTTTAAATAAACAAATTACTCCTAATGCCTCAATTGCTCCTTATCCAACCCCAAAGTCTTTAAGGAAAACTGATACCCCAATAGGATGTTAATATATTTGACTTACAGCTTTATGGACCACCTGGCATAATATGATTTTCTGCTGAGATGCCTGTACCTCAGCTTGAATAGCACAACTGAAATCCAGGAAGGGCTTTAATTATAAGAACAACAATATTAGTTTTCTATTTTAGAAATCTCAGCTTGACAGCTCAAATAATATGGGTTGCAGTAGAGTAAGGTGGGAGGTAGACAGCTCAATTAGGAAGCTGTTCCAGTAATTCAGGAAAGTGAATCTGAGAAAATAATCTAGTGTAGTAGTAGTGTTAGAGAGGGAGAGAGAAATGAGAGGATAAGGAAACAAAATATAAAAGGCAAAAAGAACTGGGATCTTTATGAAATAGGAAATATAAAATATTTATCTTTAAGTTCAAAATGTAAGTAGATAAAATTTCTGCTTTTACTAAAGTAAAGAGTATGAGTAGGGCAGGCTTGCAGATAGTAAATAGTAAGCATAGCAATCAATGTATTTATTTTCAAGTACTTATAAGAAGTCCATGCTAATATGGATAGTAAGCAGTGAATATATTAAATTGGAGCTCAGAAGAAAGTCTGGAATAAATATTAAATTTGAGAAATGTGACACAGGTATAATTATTTGTCAATAAATATCTTGTGTCAGAAATTATTTCAGGCAGTTTGCAATGATACATAAACTATGACACAGAGAAATAAGTTAAAGCTGGAGCAAAAGTAAAAAGAAAAGCAAGGGGAGTTTGATCCTGTAATTCCAGGGGCTTGGGAGGGTAAGGCAGAGGATCAGAAGTTAAAGGACAGCCTCAGAAACTCAGTACCTATACAATTTAGGGGGGAAAAAAAGTTGCTACAACATTAGAAAGAAGTTTTAGTAATGTGATAAGGAAGGATATCAAGCCAGATTGTAACTGGCTTAGAATGTAAGAAATGACCAAATGGAGAATCTTGGCTGGGAAGAAAACACTTCTCAGGACAGGTTTTTCTTTCTTTCTTTCTTTCTTTTTTTAGTACTAGGGACTGAACCTAGGGGTGCTTTACCTATGAGCCACATACCCAGTCCTTTTTACTAAGCAACACTAAGTTGCTTAGGGCCTTGCTAAGTTGTTGAGACAGGCCTCAAACTTGCGATCTTCCTACCTCAGCCTCCTGAGTTGCTAGAATTTTAGGTGTATGCCACCGTGCCTGGCCACAGGACAGTTCTTAGAACCTAGAATCCAGAGATAGTCTTAAAGGGATTCAGTGTCTGACATTGTATGTACAATTCTGTAAATATGTAAGAGTGTCCATTTTACATATCCACAGCTTTTGCCACTTTTCAGAGACATGTTACACTTTTCATGAAATCACTAAACTGCTACCCATGTAGACAATGAGATACATGTTTATCATTAAAAAATGTTTTCTTCATGCATTTTTTCTGATTATTAAAATAATATAAACTTATTGTGAACAAGTGAATTGAATATTATAAATATATAACAAGGAATGGAAGTTCTTTGTATTCTAATGCCTCCAAAGATAACCAATCTAAACACTTTATGCCTGATAGGTGCTGCTGCTCATCTAAAACACCCAAGAAATAATATACTTATTTTACCCTAAAAAATCATCTTCACATTCACACCAAACTAAATCACAACACAAAATAGATACATCTCTATTACCCACTCACAATCTGTTTTTAAATTTACTACCATTTTGACCCCTAGCCCAATAACATGTGGTTTGAAGTTTTAATAGGTTTTAATAGTTTTGTTCTTATTTTAATTTAATCTTATACCTACACTTATCACAAAGGACATTTTTTTATACCTCAAAAATAATTAATGAATATAAATGAAATCAAGTTTCACAAAGGTCAGAAGCAACACAGAAATAACCTTCAACATTCATGCCTTGACCAGGTCAGGGATCTCTCTTCTGAGGTATTTAAGTGGCCTAAGAGCTTTCTGAAAAGTTCTAGTTTGTCTGTTTTTTTAAAAAAATATTTATTTTTTATTTGTAGGTGGACACTATTTCTTTATTTCATTTTTATGTGGTGCTGAGGATTGATCTCAAGGCCTCACGTGTGCTAGGCGAGCATTCTACCACTGAGCCACAACCTCAGCCCTAGTCTGTCTCTTAATTGATGGCATTTTAAATTGTTTTAGAGTCAAAATTTTACTTTATGTAGATTGCACAGAAAAAGATGGACCTCTGCTCATAGTTATAACATTATGCATTTAATTAATAAACATAGTCAGAATAGGCAGGTCCTCAATGCTTTTAAAGATATATAAAAAACAATGCATGAAATCTCAATTTCTGCCTCAAAAGGTTACAAAAACAGGGTAGGCAGGTGGAAGATGAATTTTGTGCTGGTCGTGTTTAGGATCTGATTGAGAGAGACATTCAAGTTTGGCCCTTGAAATATTTCCCAAAACAACAATGCTCCTTCTGGTCTGGGTAGAAATAACCGACTATTATCGACTCTAGTCCCTTAGCTCTGAAAGAGACGGGCAAAATTGGAAAAAATAAGCGATGTATCTAGGCCACAATCTCCCAAATTTGGTTTCTAATATAGAGGAAATCAATGAACAAAATAACATGGACTCTAATCCTGCTTCTATCATTTATCAATTGTGCAACCTGTGCAAGTTATTCATCTCTTCAAAGCCTTTTCACATTTGAAAGAAAGTTTTGTTAGCTTAGATTATTTCAGAGTTATGGTGTTTTTAAAGGAAATGAAGAACACCAGGGAACAGGACATTTGCTGGACTCATAAAAGCCTTTATACCCAACAATTCAAACCCAGGGACTCTTATCACTGAGCTACATCCCCAGCCTTTTTAATTTTTTTTGTAGTACTGGGCATTGAATGTGGCCTTGTGTGTGCTAGGCAGGGGCTCTACTACTGAGCTACATCCTCAGCCCTAATTTATTATTTTGAGACAGGGTCTCCCTAAATTGCTGAAGATTACAAACTTCTTGATCCTCCTGCCTCAGTCTCCGGAGAAGCCCAACCCATCATTTATCTTCAAGGAGATCTACAGCAGAAATTTCCAAGCAACAAATACACTGTATAACCATGGCTTAGGATATCTGAGTAATTTTCTCTTAAAGCAATTCTTATCAGAGCTGGGCATGGTGGTGCAGGCCTTAATCTCAGGGAGGCTAAAATGGGAGGACTAAGTTCAAAGGCAACCTCAGCAATTTAGCCTAGTCCTAAGCAACTCAGTGAGACAAGTCTCAAATAAAATATAAAAAGACGTGGGGATGTGGCTCAGTGATAAAGTGCTCCTGGGTTAAATTCCCAGTACCAAAACAAACAAACAAACAAACAAACAGAAACCTCACCCTAGGGTAGTATACTTACCCCCAGATGGCTCTCACAGCAGAAATTCGAACTGATGGAGGTTGTGACTCATGAAGACCACTAACTGTTGCTTGTAGGAACTGCTGGATCAGTTCAGGAGACATAGCAACAGTGAACCGACTGGCAGCCCAAAGTGCCCGACCCAGGAGGAAAGGAGACACTGGGAAAAAGAGCAATTATGGGTTGGACAATGAAAGTTGGGGTTACATACCCTTTGTGCCTCCCAACTCCACTCCTTGAATGTCCACAAATAACAGGATGCTACATAATATATACAACTTCTTTGAAAGAAAAAGCATGATCTCATAAAGTAAATGCAAATATGTGACCTATGTTGCGGAATCAATTTCCCAGTTTCACTTCTCACTATTGGCAAAGTAGATCTTGAATATTCTGAAATTTAAAAAAGACCTTGGCATTCTAGTTCCCATCCCTAGCTCTCACTATTTATTACCTGCTCTACTCATTTTCGAAATACATTCTCCATTGCCATTTTCTTCCTACTATAACATTGTATCATTATATAGTTCTAATCAGGTCATTTTTCCATTTATAACCCGCCAGTAAATTCCGTCCACCAAATAAGACCACCTCAGTCAGCACAGCATTCAAGTCTCCCTACCATCTCCCTTTATGCCTCCTAAACTCAAGCACACATCCTTCCCTAGCAACTCACATCTTACTTTAGCACTTTGGTGCTTTACTTATATTATACCAAGCTGGCATATTTTCTTGTATTCTCTCTTGGGCCAAGATAATCCTGTCTCTGAGCCACTGTGATTGTCTTCAGCTTTCTTACATGTTGTGTATTTTGTTTGGATTCCTATCACTGGTACAAAGATTATAACTTCCTGCCCATTATCACTGCTTAAAAAGACTACACTTATTAAGCCTGTTATAGGGCTTAACTTAGTTACTCGTACAAAAATAACTGAGAGGAGCTATTGAAAATATCATAAGAAATTAGTAAAAGAATTATATAATATTTTATTTACTATCAACCAGAAATTCTCAAAATACAGACGAGGAGCTCCTGGCGACTCCTAAAGTTAAAAACATTTTTTTCAGCAATACTAAACATTAATTTACCTTTTCACTGTCATTCTTTTACAATGTACAGTGAAGTTTTCCATAGATTGTATGATATGTGAGATCATAGGTCTGACAAATGATGAAATGTATACAAGCAGAACATCCCTGTTTTAATTTTTGATGTATCAAAAAAAAATGTTTTCCTCATTATTATCCTTTTATTTGTTCTACTTAGTAGTACACCACAGCAGAATGCATTTCAATTCATCATACACAAATAGAGTGCAACAATTCAATTTTCTGGTTGAGTACTGTGTAGAGATACACCATTTGTGCAATCATACATGTACCTAGGATAATGATGTCCATCTCCTCACACCATCTTTCCTACCCTTAAAACCCCTCCCCAACCTCCCCTTTGCCCAATCCAAAGATCCTCCATTCTTCAAGCATGGGATTTTAATTAGGACCCCATTCTTGTGGGCAGGCATGATGGTAGGATTCATTTAAATATTTTCATATGTGTACATAGGAAAATTATGTTAGATTTATTCTACTGTCTTTCCTATTCCTATCCCTCCTCTTTCTTTTGATCCCCTTTGTCTAATCTACTGAATTCTTGCCCTTCCCCACTTTATTGTGGTTTAGCTTCCACATTACCAGAAAAAACATTTGACCTTGGGTTTTTTTGTTTATCAATAAAACCCATACAAAAATCTCTTGGGGACTGATAATTTTTCAGTATATAAAGGGGTCCTGAGACCCAAAAGTTTGGCTAGTTATAGAAAATCTTTTAGCTATAGGCAGGATTCACAAAACGATAAATATCGAGCCTTTTTCAAATGCTGACTATGCTGATGTATTTGAAAAATCCTGATACTTTCATTTAAATTAAGTCATGGAAAATGCTTACTATATGGCAAGGCATTCTGGGATACAATGACATGAGTTCTTCTCTCCTCATTAACTACAATATAATGTAGTATATGACAAGTGCAGAGGGAAACAAGATACATCCAATAGATCTGAGCTATGGATGGACAATGATTTTAATCCCATGAATCAAAGAATGAAAGAGATGGGGATGAGATATTCTGTAAGAGATTAACTAACAGATAGACAGTAACAGAGAGGAATGTTTTCAAATGATGTAAGCTATTCCCAGTGCTATCCTATGAACAACAGTCAAGTGATGGATTGAGAAAGGAGCAAACAGCTATGCCAATTATCTAGATACAGTCCAAGAAAATAGTTTGAGAAAAATGACAGGAAACAAACAGGAAGAATGAGCCTGACTGGCATTTTGGACTCATTATTAAATATTTTTTGTTGTAGATGGACACAATACCTTTATTTTATTTACTTTTCTTTCTTTAGTTGTAGCTGGACAAAACATCTTTATTTATTTATTTTTATGTGGTGCTGAGGATCGAACCCAGTGCCTCACATGTGCGAGGCAGGTGTTGCTGTACCACTGAACTACAGCCCCAGCCACCTATTTATTTATTTATTTTTACATGATTGAGCTACAACCCCAGCCCCGCATTTGGGACTTATTAATGAGAGCAGAACTCAAGCCAGAGTTCTGAAGGCATAACAACCAGATTTGCATTCCATTCAAAATGCCAAAAGCAGCCATAAATGGAAGGGCTAACTGGGAGGAAAAGCAGCAGTGAATGGAAGAGCTAATTCAAGGGAGGAAAAGCAATGGTAATTAGTCCCTTAGTAGGTGAATCCTGAACTCATGTCTCTGGCCTATTTTAGGGGTATGAATTAGTTCAAACTCTAGGGTGCAAAGATTTTCATCCAAAGGACATAAAAATGCTTGGCCTACCTATTTAAATAAAATATAAATGAATTGATGATAGGTCTAAAGAGCTTTCAGAATCCTAGACATATTGAAACATACCTGAGAGGTTGAGGTCAGCAAGGATGACATTGGTTAGGAACCCATGCATGTCAAAATGGATCCTGCCATTTTTCACACTGTCCGTGATAATGGACTTCACTGAGCCTAAGGCAAGCATGCAGGCCTCATGGATCTTCCACCTGTGAGAGGAATAGCAGAGCCTGGTAAAACAAACTGCTAAAACCCACAAATATTTGAGAAAGAAGATTCAGAAAAGGGCATTCCAGCAAAATCTGATCCAAAAGGGCAATTTATCTGCCCTTCCAATCTAAAAGCTATTATTAAATTATACTGAAAAGAAAATGAAATTTAAAGACACCCCCCCCCCCCCCCCCCCAGTTAGAAACAATATAAAAGCCCTTCCTTTCAAGGATATTTAAATAGGGATAAAAAACCAATTATTTTATGGTTGGGAAGAACTGCTTTAGAATAGATGACTCAAAGCAAGGATTTGTTTGTCTCAGATCTGAGGCCCCAAACAGGTCCTTAAATTACGTGTTTGCCGCTCGCTCTTACCAGTGCTCAGTGCCACTGCTTTTGGTTTGCTCAGCTTCTTGTAAATGCCTAGTGGCTGCTGCAGCCAGAGCTGCTGCACTCTCATTCTGGAAATCTGTGGCCACAGCCTAGGGAAAGAAGAGAAGGGCTAATAAATCTGTGTGTGCAGTCCAAGCATTTTAACTGCAAACTGCTTTAATCAAGACTGCTAGAAATGAATGGTTCAAATTCTTTCACATGTACACACTAAACTCAGATTAGGTGTATTAAAAATGTGACTACAAGCTAGGCAAAGTGATGCATGCCTATAATTTCAGCAACTTGGAAGACTGAGGCAGGAGGTTTGGAAGTTTGAGGTCAGGCTGGGCAATTTAGTGAGACCTTGTTTCAAAAAAAAAAAAAAAAAGTGTGTGTGGGGGGGCCTGGGCTGGGGCATTATTGTAGATCAGTGGTAAACTGTCCCTGAGTTCAATCCTCCCCACCAAAAAAAGTGACTCCATTAGTTTTAAGGGTCTCTAATGGAAATAAAAGAATATTTTTGTTTGTTTGTTTGATACTGGAGATTGAACCCAGGAGCATAGTAACCACTGAGTTATATATCCCTGGTCCTTTTCTTAAATCTTGAGACAGAGTCTTGCTAAGTTGTTTAGGGAATCGCTAAATTGCTGAGGCTGCCTCAAACTTGTGGCCCTCCTAGCTAAGCTTCCAGATTGCTGGGATTACAGTGACTTGGCTAGGAATTCCTGGCTAAGAATACTTATTTTTCTACAGTGCATTTTAAGCCTAACTAGTTGCTTCCTTAGGCTATGTTCAGCAGAGCTAAAGTAAGAATGACAGATTCAGCTTTGGATGACAAAGGAGGAGATATTTATTCTCTAGGAACCTAATGATGGAAAGGTTACTCTATTAATTGAAAAAGAGTATAATCTTTCGTAGGTGCCTTAAGAAATATTAAGTGTAGTGGCACATGCTTGTAATCTCAGCAACTTGGGACGCTGAGGCAGAAGGATTGCAAGTTTGAGGCCAGCCTGGGCATCTTAGTAAGACCTTGTCTAAAAAAAGAAAAGAAGTAATTATAAAAAGAGATTTCACCAAGAAACCTCCTACCTAATAGGAAGCAAGTGGCAGTTTCTTCATAGTGTTCCAGTCTAGAGAGAACTCCATGCTTTTAGTCAGTAGAGCAGAAGAAAACATAAACAGATGTTTGGATGTCCATCTCAGCATTTTTTGTTTGTTTGTCAACCTCTGGATTACACTATAGTCTTGACAAAGGCAGCTTAAAGTAAAATAATGTTCCTTATTTGACTACTCTTACTCAATTAGCATGTTATCCTCTACACAATTTTTTTTTCTTTTGTACTAGGGATTGAACCCAGGGACACTTCATCACTGAGCTACATCTCAGCCCTTTTATTTTATTTTGGGACAAGGTCCTGCTAAGTGCCTAGGTTGGCCTTGAACTTGCCACCTTCCTGCTTCTGCCTCTTCCAGAGTTGCTGGGATTACTCGCATATGTCACTGCACCCAGCATCATCTGCACAATTCTTATATCTAATATCTACTGGTGAATCAGAACTAGTAGAAACAATTTTGGAATTTCTGAGTCTCAAGCTTCATTTGAAAAGCTCTCTTGTATTCACAAAAATGTCTGAGATAAAGCTGCTCAACAGTACTGCTCACCTTGGGTTAGATGTCTAGGAAGAGGAGGAAACCCTCAAGTGACGGAGGAGGATTATTTGGTTGAAGTATCAAGGTGACTCTCTTACCAGCAATAGGTCTTGAGCTGCAATTCTAACAGTATAGGAGAAAGTATCATCATCTTCATCTTCTACAAACTGCTGGGGGTTGGCTGTCCACACTTTAATCTGAAAAGATGATAAAATTATGTTTTCGTTGGGCTACCAATCTGGTTCACATGTTCCTTCTTTTCATCAACAAAGATATGAAGACTTTAGCCTATTACTTAACAAAATTATAAGCCTCAAAAAGTCTTTTTTTTTTTTTTTTAAAGAGAAACAAATTCTTACATTCAAGGTTTGTAGCAATGGCTACTGCTCTCTACCAGATCTCATTTTAGAATTTGGGAGATTACTTGCTGTTATTGCCACTTAGCTATTATTCTTTGATAAGTCAGTTTCTTGAATATAATAGGTCTGATGGGATATTGAATATAAAAATCATGTCAATTTTTGTGCTGTTTTCTATGAGAGGTATTATCTTATTCTTCAATGCTTCCCCCGCCACTCCCAGTTTTAAAGACCAACAGGTGAATAATCTGATTACTACTTTCTATTATTTATATTGAAGGAACAGTTTCTCCTAGATACCAGGATCTTTGGTTTAGTGGTTTTTACAGAGATTTTCCTAATGCAAAAAGTGTTCAGAAAGCCCAATTACCTAATATAGGAATTGATTAAAAACTCCTCAATACCCAAGGATTTGGCAATAAAATGATGTCAAAACTTTCCCAGAACTTCACATGAAGTTATTCTCTTAGTGTCTATCTTTAGAAAGAAAGCATTTCCTTGATCAAGGCCTGCATTCACCAAAAAGCTGCACTTTCCAAATGCCTGCTGGTAACTTTCTTCCAAGTATTATTTACCTGCTCCTCAGTGATTTGCATGTACAGAATAATATAGTAAATCAACTCAGGCAAAGCTTTCTTAACAGTGCTTTTGAATTTGCTATTTTCTAGGAGGGCATGGACAAATTCAAAAATACTAAAGACGAGATTTTCAAAGCCCAGGACTTCACCTATAGGAAATACACAAGAGAAGAAGTTAGTGATAAGAAAGCAAAAGAAAAGCACATATACTGGAAATCAACTACATTATCTTTGTAAATTAAGAAATATTGCAAGCAGTTGCCAGTTCCTAAGGGAATTGGTAGAAGAGGCTGAAGAGTCAAAGAACTTTGAGGATATCAAATATCCTTTGGTTTTTCAAGTAAAAAATACTGGTGAATCAAATATTAAAACAGAAATGAAAACATCATCATCTGGACTTCAAAATTAAACTAAACAAAACACCAGAAGTAGCTGGATTAAATGACTTTTAAGGTATCTCTTCCAAACTCAGAAATTCTATGACTTTATATGATTTTTGCAAATGCCTATGAAGAACAGATTAAAGATCGTCAATTTTCAATTCTTCACATCTAAAAACTGAAAGGAAACTCTATTAGAAAACTCACTTAGAAGAGCGAAGCTTCTAAGTTACTGCTTTTTTCTTTCTCTGACTTTTTTCTTTTTCCAGATCCCTTTTCTCAATAATTGATTTCTGTCAAGATCAAATAAACTACATACCATCAGAATCCACGGGATCTTCTACTTCCTCTGTGTAATTCACTTCAGTCCTCACATAAGTATGATGAAGAGTAAAGAAATAGAATTTGGAGTCTGCTTTACATATATTCTACAAAAGAATGCCGTATATTCCAACACTAGGAGTGGACACTTAAAAGTGGAGCCCCATGAATATGAGACCCAAGGCTAGATTCCCAACTATAGGTGGTAGTGGGTTCCTTAAACTTTCAGGAAAGGATATAAAGCTGCACTCTCAGTTAGGGTGTTCCAAACAATAGGCAGAATCTGCTGCATGGAGGACACCATGTGTTTTGGGAAGTTTTTCACCAGGGCTGTCACTGCCTGAAGTTAAGAGAAGACACCCAAGAGTGACATAGGAGAAATCAATGGTTTCAGACTATCAAGCTCCAAATCTCATAGGCAGTAAATGTTTACCTTTAGGACCTCCATCTTAAACCCACTGTCTGATGTGGGGCCATCTGGTATCTGGAGGGCCTGAACAAAGGCCTCTGTGAACTGCTGCACCACTGGAAAGATCAGGACTTTGGCTGCACCCTGATAACAAAAATCAAAATCAATGCTGACAAACCTCTAATGGATGGCATCAATAACCACATCAAAAAGGGAGACTTAAGGTATCTAAAGCTCTAGTTAGGCTGAGGAAGGAGGATTGTAAGTTTGAGGCCAGGCTAGGCAACTCAGTGAGACCCTGTCTCAAAATAAAAAATAAAAGGGCTGTGTGTGTAGCTCAATGGTACAGCACCCCTGGATTTGATCCCCAGTACCACTAATTAGAAAGGTATAGGTATCAAGTCATTGGAGGTTGTTTTTCAGTATTTCATGTTTTCTTAACTACTACTTGTAGTTCTTCCTCACATCCCTACTAAAAGCTATTATATAAGGCCACCTTTTCATAACAGTTTCTTTTTTAAAAAAAATTTTTGTTCTTTTTAGTTATATATGACAGTACAATGTATTTTGATTTTTTTTTTTTTTTTT